CGATCAGTCATCCACAAAACAGTACCAGCACACTACACACGAATCGGGTCGGATGTGAATGAATAAAGCTTAATTGATTGCACGCCGATTTGGATTCTGGATAATGCGAGTGTGGATGTATGGATTGTCGACAATATCTATTGTTCTATGACAAAATACGAATTTATTCCAGTTAGAGTAGACACGCGAACAAAGTGGACAAATATAGGATAATCAGAACACATCCTTAGAGCATAGGTTCAACCTGTTAGATTCACAAAAGCGGGCAGTCAAACGCACACGGGTCGGGCCGAGCAGTGACATTTGGACGGTGATGTAAAGCGCGGAAAATGTACACGTGGGACAGCGCACGTGAATAAGTGCAAGGTCAGGCAGGAAAATAGGTGAGGTATATAGTGCATGAAAAGAAATAAAAAAGGGTGAAATCAAAACAGAGGAATAATTAATGGATCACACATCCACTAAGTAAAACAACAGACGATAAGGTAGCGGGGACAGAAGCGTGTTAACACTTGAGAGCACCGCGTTGACGTACATCATCGACTTTTGAATCCCTGAAATAATTGAAAACAAGAGGAAGAATCTAAGTCACCGGTTCAGATCATTAGCTTGAAATAAATGCTCGGTTTTTGTTAAAACTAAAGTCTTTGAATGGGAATCCTAATCGCTCTCCTGCTTAGTGGCTGGACACCCTGGCAGTACTCGTCCATAAAGCTCTAATGAACACAAACTAAAATTGATTTTCTACTGCATCGGTCTTCGCGCAGAATAATTAGGACTGCGCTGCCCACTGGATCGAGCTGGGTGGGCTACTGATCAGACATCCCAACCTGTTTAAATCTTCGTTTTCTGTACCCAACCCTCTCCCTTTATTCCTTTTCCCGACCCGTAACATTTCCTCAGACAAATTGTTCCTCACTCGCCAAAGTTCGTTGCCTAGTAGCGCCGTAACTAGTTTATTACAAAACAGATAGCAGATTCTGAAGCCTCGTCAATCACTGAATCTGTGGGCCCTCAAAGTAAGGACTCGGATACTGCTGGATCAACAAGCTTGTCTCGCGTGTACAATGGACTCTTTGAGGATTGATTTATGTTGCTTATCGGAGATGCGAATACAGGATCTTACAACTATAAGCCACTTAAGTACGCCAGATCTGTCTTTGAGGTACTTCCACGCGCATCGTGTGCCGACGAAATCCGTTTACCAGGCCAGCGTGGCACAGGAATTTTACCCAATAACACAGCAGAAGCTTAACTAATCGATTGGACCCTTGTCAACAGTCGCTTATGTGCGATGCGGCTCCAAGGGTCTATCAGAGTCCGAAAGGGAAGCAACATCATAAGGTTTTTATTCACCATTTCAGTATGTGCATCGACCTACTGCAGTTTTAACGCACAAAAAGATGAGTTTCATGGTAAACCCGCCCAACTTATTCGGTTGAGCCGATTATCGGATATAGTCGTGCTTGGTGATTTTAACGTGTAAGTGAAACTTTGAGCCCATCGGAAGCTTCCCTAGCCGGTTGTCGCGCTCTGCCCTGTCAACGAACAGATAACGCCAACCGACTTCCTCAATTCTGCGAAGGTCACCATCTGTTCCTATCCTGAACTAACTTTCGACACAGCTCTCAACGGGCAGCAACGTGGCGCCTCAATTCAAATGGTACGCTAACTCAAGACCACAGGAAGCTATCGCTAGCGTGGCTCCGCACAAAACTGGTCCTGTTAGACCAACTGCGTTGAATTTGATCACGCATCGGTTTTGATGCGGTTCATTCTCCGACTCATAGGTCACAGAAAAACCTACCAAACTCGGTTGACAGAGCACCAGCTTTGGAGCAAAAAAAGGCAAAAGTTAAACGCGCTGCAGCGCGTTGGTTTAGATTAACAATGGGATGCACTAGGAAGGTAGGGCTCTTCAAGGATCTCAAGCGGTTACCCGTCCGAGGCATTGAATATTTGACGATGATGATTATTATCATTCGGATGATGGTGATGAATAAGTTTCCGCATTATAAAGCACTGTTCACGTTCCTGTAGTCTGTTCTATAGATAAAAAATGGGTCATCGAGTGTTTATAATGAACACGCATGCCTGTTTCAGGCCGGACAGAAGGCTTGGAATTTACAATTAGTGCCTGACAGTAGTTTAGTCGAAATGACCCTTGAGTTGCATAATTAGTGCTCGCCGCTTTAGTAAACTGGTCTATAGTGAACTCAAGTAGAAAACGCAGCAATAGATAACTGATGAACAAGTGCACTATGTTTGAGGTGAACAAAACGACAATAATAAGAATTAGTGGTTACAAGAATGATACGCATCCACACAAAGTGTAGCCCCATGATGTTTCCAGTTACATGAAATTATCGCTGATTATTGTGCTAATGGTGCGGTTGGAAAATTGATACAGAGCAGATAACTGAAGGTGATCAAGCGTAAAACTAGTCTTTCAAATCAAAACTTTCATGACGAAACTCACCACAGACACTGCCAAAATAAGAAACGGTAGGCGATCAATGCACGCCTGGAGAAAAAATCATCGGCAAACGAAAACAGCAGTCATGCGAGCGAGAACAAGGTTTCGTTTTATCCACCTTTTACTTTGACCTGTCACACATTCTTTACACAATTAATTCTGAACTGTTACCGGTTTACCACGAGAAAAGGTTCCACCTGATGGCCTTGCGCAGACTTTGTTCTTCCTTACTATGCCCATATGCATCGCCAATGAAAGGTCAACTCGTATACAGAAGGCTCGGTTGGCATTTTCTAAAATGAGACATTTGTGGTGCCATGGCGACATCCGGCTGCCCGTGAAGGGTTGAGTATATGCCGCAGCAGTGCTGCTCTACGGTGCAGAAACTTGGCCACTACGGGAACAGGATAAAAATTGATTGTCCGTGTTCGAACACTGCTGTCTAAGTCGCACTGCATGAGTCTGGTGGGGTAACCGGACGACCAATGCTGAGGTCAGGCTCAGAGTTTTGGGCAGTCACAGTCGTTCACTGGAACAATTAAGCGACCTATATAGATTACATTGGTTGGAGCATCTGTTACGCATGTCACCAGATAGGTTGTCACGGCGAGCGATGTTTGCCGAGGCAGGTAGTGGGTGGAATAAAGCCCAGGGTGGTCAAGCTAAGACCTAGCATGAGGGTATGAAAACATTAACCAGGAGACTGGGTCACATAGGTCCCGTTAGGCTCCCTGGATGCGGACCCCGAGATGATGGTCACTGATGGTTAGAGACACTGAGCGATATTGCTGGGTGTCACAAATAATGGCGTTCATGCATCTACTCATTATTCTCTTAACACCAATCGATATCAATTCATCTTTCGATTGAATTTGCTTTCCACATTCTTATCTTCATCCTGCTCTTTTATACAAATGAGCGACCAAACAAACAAACAAAGCAAACAAAACCGGAGAAAGAAAGTGCATGGCTAATGGTTGTAAAAACTGAAACTGGAGTCAAGTTCATTGGATCATAAGTCCTTTGGACGAGGTCAAACGTCCAAGGTGCACAACTGAGCTGGTGACTACTGCTACAACCAGGAAGGTGTATAGTTCGTACGCCTCTTCTTGGCTGGTTTGGAATCAAGGTTTTGGCTAACTCCCTCAGGTGAACCACCAGTGGTCCATCCAACCTAGTTATAGCCCCAGATGTTGGCTATTCGTCCTCTCGCTTTGGTGGGAAAACACCTCCGCCACGGGAGGGCAGTGAGCAGGGCTTCCTCAGCACAGGCTATTTGAGACGCTTGGTCATCTAGGAGCATGTGGCAAGGCGTAACGGACTGGTGACAGTCACGATCCGAAGCACCCATCCCCGACCATACTGAGGCTTTCGGAAGCCTAATCCTAATACTTAAATGCTATAATTTGACTTTTGTGAGCCCTCAGAGAGTCGTTTTTCACAAGGACCATTTGCAGCACCAGTGGATAAGTACAGTTGTGCTGCTTGCCTCCGAAAGCAAGAGTATGGTCTTGGGTGTTCATTTCACTTTGTGGTTGGTCACTCTTTCCTTACACCTCACAAAATGCTTCCACACGACCAAGCAGCCCAAATAGTATTCGCTAAGGAAGCATGACTTAATTCCTTCAAGTGGAAGTGTTTTCCCACTAGAGTGAGATGACAGAAAGACAACATCCGGGGCTGAGTCGGTGAACCGCTGGCAGTTCACTTAAGGAAGTTGGAAAAACACCTTGATTGGAAACTAAACAAGAGACAGACGAACCACACCCACATCTTCCGGGTTGCGATAGTGGTTACCAGCCTGACTGGGCTTCGAGGACACCTAGAACGTTTGAGCTCATCCAAAGGGTGTAGGGCATGATGAACTGGGCACAAGTCTTCAATGGATTGCAGTTTTCGTACTCTGTACCGATGCATGGCGCGTCAGGCTCTGGTTAACCAAACGTTCCGATTTCGAATCCCCATATTAAGTTGGTTTGACCTGGGAAAACTGGTGGTCCTCCGCCCACTAGCAAATTACAAACTGTTTTGGTGTTATTAACAAGATTATTTTGCGGTGATTTGTTTAGCACAAAGCCTAGACTCAGGCAAGTGTGAAATATAATAGTAGTAACATTTCGTGAATGAAACCGAATCTCAGTTTATATTGAGGCGGATCACCATGCTTTAATCGTTATCGTCAGAGATCCGTGAGGTCAACTCATCCGCATACAAATCGCCGTATTAAGGTGCGTAGCTATAAAGAAAGCCGATCAACCGTCACTATTGGGTTTCTTTCAGCCTATGCAACCATTAAGCTAGTACCCAGTTGTTGTCAGTTTAGGTGCTTCATTCAAGTAGCCTCAAGTAAACCGCTGCCCAACCGTAGCCTGGTTCGATAGCAGCAACTTTAGGTGGAGCATTAATCTAAGTTGCCGATTTCCAAAAATAAAAGGTGGGTTCATTTGATTATGAAGTTTGCTCTTCCTATTGTTTATCATGCCAATGTATGCAATTGAAAAAAAAACAATAACCAATATCAAACTCACAGTGGTTCGACGAGATTGTTTTTATTTGCATCAGCATCATGCACCGCACCTGTGGCTGTTGAATTATGCTGTTGTTGAACCACTGCGGCTGACCGGAGTTTGGCGGACGGGGAAGCTGCGTCTTGAGGTCCTGTGTTAACGTCCAATTTGTTCGGTTTCGAACGCATTTGATGGCGTTCGTACAACAAGATGGCCGTGACCAGAACAGTAACTTCAATTACAATCCCAATAAATGGCCACAAAGCAGCCCAGCGATCTAGACGAAATTGAGGAAGGAAGTTGTATGTGAACCCAAGTTAAAGCCCACGGTGCAAAAGCGGAAAAGAGGAATTGTATATTTAACTTACCTTTTACATTCACCAACACATATGTCAGGTCTGATCCATATATGTTGCTTGCGTTGCACGCATAAAGTCCATTGTCTTTCATCAGCAGCTGAGAGAAACGAAGAGTATCATTCGGCACACCGCCTTCACTAGTTTGTTGCTCATAATGACTTTTGTTTGTATCTAACGGACCAAGCTGATTTACAGCGGCAGCGATTGCATTGTTGTCCTCCATTTGGTCCACAGTGAGGGCGGAGAAACTCCAATACACTGATTCTGGTTTGGGATAACCAGAAGGATTGCACATGAGCCGTAGAACATCACCTTCCAGAACGCGTTTCGTTTTCGGAAATACGGGAAGTATAGGGGCAGCTGTCGAAGGGAGAAATGAGCAGCATGTGTAGATTGTGGAAATGCATGTGTAACAAAAGGATCAAAATCTTCGGTCTGGCAGACACTTCGAAGAAAGGGGACCTAGATAAGGTACACTGATGAGCCAACGAGTGGAACTTATCACTCAATGTGCTCCAGTGCGCTCACCGGGTGAAGGAAGGTACCAACCGCAATACGAGAGGTCTGGGATCCGGAAGTGAGGCCATAGACATGCCAACAAAACAGGCCGCAAAAGAACTCGGAATAATGGTTCAAACTAACTTTCAATCTTGGCATAGTGTAAAAAGTTGGTCCTGACTGCCCAAAGGGTCCTACACCAGTTCCGTCGCGTAGTGAGCCACTGTACAAGGTATTCGCCCGGCCTCATCTAGAATACTGTTTACAGGCCTGAAAGCCCTAGTTAGTGGGGGACAAAGATGTTGGAGC